TTTTTTAGAAATTTATATATTAATACAAAGAGGTAAAAAATAAATATTAATACAAAGAGGTAAAAAAATAAATATTAATACAAAGAGGTAAAAAAATATATATTAAATTTATATACGACAATTCCAAGATGACAAGAATCGAACTAATGTCGTAATATGTAGACGTCAAACTTAGATGTTCATGTAATAAAAACATAAGCTGCTTAGAATTGTATACTTCCAATTTGTTCATAAATCACGAAAAATCAAACAATTCAAATTGTCAACAATTCATTTTCAATCGTAATTAAGCTAAAGCCAACCGTTTTGTGATGACTTTTACCATGGTTTTAAATATTCGTTTAAGATTGTTTTTGCAATTTTAGTTTCTATCCAGCATGCAGTGTGCAAATTTGTCCTAACCTGTTAAAATATGTTTGCGTTGTTACAAGACATGCCTTAGTATGCAAATAAAGCAATGTTGTTCGTTCTGAACAGCTACTTTAGTTAACCTCAAGTTGCCAGATTGAAAATGTTTGTTTTTTATATGCTCTATTTCTTTATAACACATCCAATTTTGAAGCTGTCTGAAAGTAAAATAGAAATATATATTAAGTTCATCAACAAAAGAGTTTATATATATATGTACAAAGTTTTCAAAAATATTACGCTAAATAAATTATGTGATAATACCATATTCACTAATCATTATATTTTGTTGGATTTGACGAAATATTTTGATATATTAGTTTTCTGAATTACAAGGTATTTTTTTGCTAACAATAATTTAACATTACATATTTACAAAAACACGCGCGAATAATGAGGATAGTCATATTGAAAAGACGACAAAATATGTCACTTTTCTCATAAATTTATTATTTTCATATTTACTTCTTGGTAGAAGAAGAGAAAAAAAAAGGACATGTTCCAAAATCGATAAGCCATTATATCTTTCCGATATTAAATATTATTTCAAAATGAAAGACCATCCGCATTTATTCAGTGTTATTTGTGTAAGCTACACTCACATAAGCTAGGTTATTTATAAAACGGATTATCTAACATTGATATATTCTTGTTGTTGTTTTTTCTGGTTTTTGAAAGATGATTCATGAAATCGTTTGGAAGAACGAGAAACATTTCTATTGCATTCTCTGGTAAATACGCTCATATAATTCAAGAAAATATTCAAATAAAGAAGCATAAACAGCTTTAAGCGTATATAAACTTAATTAAACTTTTAATTTGTGGCAAATATTTCTGAGGCACTTTATGCACTCCACCGTAAACCCAATAATATTTCACGAGGTTCGGCCAACTTAGGAGATTTAGGTTAGTCCTAAATACAAATTCTAAACTAACTAATAAAAGTGTAATAATTAAAGACAACTGAAAATAAAAAGTTATTACATTATACTAGCTTGTACAACCAATATCATTAATGAAAGCAGCAATAAGTAGTTTTCGTCTCGAACCGTAGTCATTGCTGCGTAGTTCTTTGGAATCTCTGATATCACACTTTACCAACGAAAACTCATTACAGTTCTTCAACTATAAAACGCCAGATGCTATCTTAACTGTAACTCTGCGAGTAGCGGGTTCTAATCTCGTCATACCAAACATGCTTGCCCTTTCAGCCGTGAGGGGGCGTTATAATGTGACGGTCACTCCCACTATTCGTTGGCAGAAGAGTAGCCCAAGAGTTGGCGTGGGTGGTGTTGACTAGCTGCCTTCCCTCTAGTCTTACACTACTAAATTAGGGACGGCTAGCGCAGATAGCCCTCGTGTAGCTTTGCGCTAAATTCAAAACAAACAAACAAACAATATGCTATCAAACATCTGGTCAAGCTACTGTGTTAAATAATACTGTATTGATATATCTCTTTCATTACACATATATGCTTAGAATGATATTTCATTGATCGTTAAAATTTGACTGTGGCGAATTAAACCCATGTGTTTTAGTTTAAACCACGTCGGGTTGATACCATTAGCTTCGTCATGGCACAAAGAAAAAACAATGTTTATGAAGATACAAAATAATAAGGAAAAAAAATAAACTAACAGCTGACATGACCATTATATAATGAATGACCAACTGTGACTATTTCGTATAGAACACATCTGTTTGGGAGATGTACGCAAACACATCTGTATTACATTTGTGATTTTTCTTTTCCCAAGAAAATTACTTTTTATTACACTGATTTGTCTTATTTACCTTAATGGTCGGTTTATAATTAATTTCATTATATTTTCTTCTATAAATTAGAATATCAGGTTAACGTAATTATCATACAAATTATTATTTAAGGTAAAGATTCGTGCTAAAATCTAAAAATATAATAATAATTTATAATAGAAATTATAATAGAATTATAATATTATAATTATAATAGAAATTTAGCCTTGAGTATGATTAATATTGAGCTTCCTCCAGAACTGTATAAAGCATTTAAGCCTGAATTCTATAAACAGCTTAACAAATCGCATGACATTTAACCAAACAATGTAATATTAGAAATTGAGGTACAAATAGTATCTCATTAACTTTAAATGATAATGCTTTTCTTAATATTGTTATAAATTATGTATAACCGTTACTGATGTAAAAGTAAAACCTCACTATTACCAATTTTATAAGTTAATTTCTTTCTCTTGCATATACTAGTTATTGTAACGTACGAGGTAGTTTAATCATAGCGATAATTTTAATCAATAGTAGAATTATAACTAGCTAACCAAGTAGCCTTCTAAGTTAGAGCGTATGCTGAAGGATTTTAATAAACCAGGTAATATTTGTTTTTCCATTTATAATTTATAATAGACACAACAACCGTTTACAATGAGAAAACTTGGTGTGCTGTTCTGGTTTTGAGTAAAATGCTTTCAGGCTAAGAACAAGCAAACTTCGTTCTTAGCGATATTTATTTTCCAGAAATGTTAAATAAATAAAACAATTTGTCTGTATTTTGAATCCACAAGTATAACCATGAGGCAAAAATCGTGACTTATTATAGGTGTTTTCAATGCTTTGTTCCTTGTTTCCAAAGGATGAAGAGGACTATTCATGCAAGGAGGAGACAGAGACATGAAGTTTGTATCACGTGACAAGTGGAATTGACTAGCGCAGAACGCGCTGAGGAGTTGGTAGTTCGCAGTCCGGCGTCCAGGAAACAGCACCAGAGTTAATCTATAGTATATACATTGATTCTGGCAAGAGAAGGTACTTGAGCACATCACAGGGCAGAGAATTCGCTAGAAAAACCATCATTTGGGGGACTACTGGTGCAGTTGATACGCAATTCTTCGTTTTGAATTGCGTGGTTATTTAACAAAGTGAACTGAATTACTGTTGAAAGAGTCAATTTTGTGTTCATACCAACAAAACCCAGTCATCTTATACGCGTGGTATGTCTGTAATCACTAAAAATATGTGTTTATTGATAAACAATCTTAAATGATGTAATCAAAACGAATTGAACAATAACAATAACTTATTGTATTATATTAAACTTATATAATATTTGATTTAATTATTTAAAAAGATCATAGTTCGAGAAACATGAATTGTGTTAGAAGTTATTTTGGGACTTTGTTCTTTGTGATCATCGGTGGAAGTACTGTTTTCTTGCTGAACACAGGTAAGCCTAATTATAGAAAAATCTAAAGTTAGTGTTTATTTAAGTGGAATAGTTATAAACAACACAATATTCCTGATTATTGTCATGTGCAAGCTCCTAAGGTGTTTGCATTTAACTGTTCTTTATGGGGTATGGAAGCAAACTGTGATATTTATAAATCTATATTTACCTTCCTTTTTCTTTTTAATACATTTATATATGTACATGTAAGCTTGTTGCTAAATGACTTAATTAATCATGTTATAAACGCATTACTCGTTGATTATGTTCAGAAGGGTTTTTACTTGTTTCTTGTGGAGGATGTAAATTATTCCTGACTTTATAATTGGCTAGAGCCATAAAGTTAATTCTTAATGCAACTTATAACACATCTACAAATCCCCTTATTAAAATGTCAGTTTATAGAAGATTATATTCTTAAGATTCTTTTATGAAATATATATATATATGTGTGTGTGTGTGTGCCTGTGTCTGTGTATATACATGCTTTTCACTCGACCGTAATCTCATCCGTAATACGTAAGTCTTTTGAAAATTATATTTGTTTCTGTATAATCCACGAAACTCATCCCTAAACTTTCGTATTAAAACTTTTTGATCGTTGACTCGAATTATAATTAAATCCAAACACTGCTGGCTGGACCTTTAGTTGATTTTATTTGCCACATCATCGAAAAAAGTTTATAACTTCACAAGGTCACTCATCTCTAGATCATCAATTATACTATTACACGTTATAGAATTTTAAACTGTTTTTTTTTGTCTTCTCCTTGTTGTTGTTATAGAAGATATAGCAAGTTCTTACAACCTTTCATTATTGTTATGGGTTTACCATTAGGGTACTTTTCTTCCTTTCCTCTAGGCACTGTCATTTACCTACAGACTATGTGATTGCCAGTAGAACTTTAGGAGGCTTTACATACTTGTCACTAGTAGATATCATTTACATACACTTTCTTTCATTGCACAGAATAACTTAACTGATTGTATTTTACACGCCTGTCACTAATATATCCCTTGTAACTATAAACCTTATGCTTAAACAGAATAAATTTAGAGGATTTGCTTAATCATTATCATATAAAGTGTTTCATCATCATGTCCTCTCATTATCCAGAATGTTTGTTTTTTCTTGTTCGTAGTTAAGCACAAAGCTACACAATGAGCTATTTGTGCTGTGTCCACCGCTGGTATCGAAACCCGGTTTTAAGCGAGGTGGGTCTCACACTTACTGCTGAGGGGGGCTTTTAGAAAAGACATTTTATTTCCAGACTATTTTGATTTAATAGGGTTTTATTTGTTCATCGTCAAACGAAACAAGTATTCAATAGAACCTCGTATAACTGAATATTTCTAAAAAGTATCTTAGTTATTTGTGACTAGGTCCACAGATAATTTAGTTTTGTTATTGGACAGAAAACTGATCTAACGTCTCTGGTTGTCATTTTCATTAGGTGTCGTTGTCGTTTCATATACCATCTTATTATTTAGTTGATCATTGGAGCTTTTTTACCCTTGCATCTAGACAATGTAATACATCTTTTAACTATTTCTTTCACTATTAGAAATATTAGTATGGTAATGTAACAACTATAGCCAAATGATTTATGAATAAATCCCAGAAGAGATATTTCAAACACAGTTCAAATAGACATACTTGTAAAGCTGTCACTGAAATAGCCGAAAATAATGATTAGCATTGTCACGTGCGAGATTTCCGTGTAAAGTACAACTATATATAATGGAGTATAAATCTTATGATTCACCAGGGGCCACTTAGTTTTAATCTAGGTAATGTGCGAGACATGAAAGACACTGAATACCGTACTAGGTGGATAAATTAGTTTAGTTTATCATGAAACTGAAGTGTTCTTTCATTCTGAAGAGAAAGCTAGCATTCATATAGGAACAGCTTGGTATGTTGATAAACAACTTTTAAATGTCCTACAAATAAACATATATACAGATTAACTTATGATTTCATGACTTATTTAAAGGATATTTCAAGTAAATTCACTCCTAATTAGTGATACTTAAAATAATTCTATTTTTTAACTTCATAAAATACAAACTTCATCGTTCCTTATCTGAAGTTTGTCGCTTGGTTTTATTTGTCTATTCTGTGTTTGCCATGTCCTTTCTTTTTTTCAAGCGCTAATACTTTAGACTAAATCCTAAAAATAATTGTTGACTATTTATACTTAGCTACTGATAAAAGTAAATTTTTAAAGCGACTTATTTTACGCGAAAGATATGATCAGGTTTATAATATTTGTTTCATTCAGTGATATTGATCCATTTTTATTTTTACATTGAGTGGTAAAATTTATTAAGAAATTCAGGATAGTGTGAAATTTAACTGTCACTCAAATAAGAATTCCAGTATGGATAGATTCGAGATCATCACTCTCAGATTTATGATGATGAACGTGGTTACGTTGTAGAAATATCTAGAACAAAAAGTGGAAATTTAATCCTCCTGGGCATTTAAAGATCTAAGTAGCATAGAGCAGGAATGTGCATTTAAATGAGAATCTCCATATCTTCAAATGTGTTCTGCAACAAATCGCAAATCAGCTTATATATATATATGTTACATGTATAGATTTTTTGAAATGTTCAAAACAACTGCTCGCATACCTTAATGAGTGTACATACTTGGTACCCTGTTATATAGGAATAACGTAGCCTATTTAAGACAGGAAATAGTAAAACGGAGGTACTTACACGTAACGAGCATATCATTTGCTAAATTGATGTTAAGAAGCTGAAAATCAAAATAGGTCAATTATAGTTTTCATACGTCAACTTCAAAAAAGCTTAAAACAAAGGTTTTACGTAAAATATTTCCCTCTGACGTTTTACTTATCAACATAATAAAGGAAATTCTTTTAAAGTTTGATTTTTTAAGAAACACAGGTTTTTCGTACAAAATGATTAAGAAAATAAAAAGAGCCAGAAGTTTCTGGTCCATTATTTCTTGAGCAAAATAGAATATCCATTTTTTTATGACAATTTTTACTGTTGTTTGCTCAGAACACTAGATATTATCTATTGTTGCTTTAAAGATCAAAACAATAAACGTCATTCCCTTTTAGACCAGTCTTCAGCATTAGTCAATTTTTCATTTCATATTCTGGATTAACATGACAAAAAATGTATGTTATCCTCAGATAATAGACTTCTATACGAATATATTACTATATATTTACAAAATCTTATCAATCAAATAAGGAAATATTGATTAAAAGGTCTAGTTATAGTTTTATTACTGTCAATATATTTTTTTTTCATTACCTTCCATATCACTACTTTATTTAAATCCTAAGATTTGTATTATCATAAAAATCAATTCTCTTAAAGGATTTCATTAGGATGTCTCGAAACGACTTTTATTTTTTTACATTATAGTCAGAACAAAAATAAAAACTAAACTTTTCTGGCTAATAATTCGAAGTTCTTTTTTGTTTGTTCGAAGTTAAGCACAAAGCTACACAATGGGCTATCTGTGCTGTGCCCACCACGGGTATCGAAGCCCGGATTCTAGCGTTTAAGTCCGCAGATATACCACTGTGCCACTTGGCGGGCATTCGAAGTTCTAAATTCATAAGTACTTTTGATTCTTAAACTTATTAACCGTCTGTGTTATATTGCATGAATTGTCCTATAAGGAATATTTCAGGTCGACTGATGTTGGTCGGCCTTTAGTAACCGTATAACCAGCGTTATACAGTAGTCTGTCATGTCTTTTAGCTAGATACTTTTATAGGTTTCAATATATATATTGAGTTATTTGCCAAATATGAACATTTGTTAGGTTGTCTCATTGATAGGTGAAATTTTAGACAAATATTTTACTTAAAGCAAAAATGACAGTAGCTCAATCGAAAGGAAATTTTCGACTATAAAGGAGAAAGTGCTTCAGAATCTAGAGGGTTAATAGGGTTATAGGGAGGTTAATAGGGTCTTAAGAGATATGAAGAAAGTTTTAGTGAACAAAGATAGTTATTGTTTATAAATGGTTTGCTTCTGTTCAGAAGGTCAGATGGTTGGCGAGAAAATAGTTAGGTTTTTCTATTGCGTTGAACTGAAAAGTGAGACTTTCAAAGATTATTTAATTTAACGTTGATAACGCTCACAGCCAAGGGAGACTAGTGGTGAAAGGAATTGTGATTATTTTTAAACAAATAATTTGTTCTAACGTCTATAAAAGCAAAACTTTAGAGATTTATTTTATTGAAGTATGAAACGTTAAGTTAATTAGTTATTACAATTTCTATATCTTTAATATAATACCAATCTCGAATTTGTCAATAAGTCTTTCAGTTACCTATCAGTCCCAAAAGTAGTTTTAGCTTTCAACTCAATGTCGTAAATATAGTGAGATTATAAACGTAAAATTTCGAAAAGATCATTTGGATAATCGATATAAATTTACAATTTCGAAAATCTTCCAAAAACAGATTTTCTTTGGTTTATTGCATGGAATTATATAACTTATGTGTGTAAAATTATAAAGTGTTTGTTGAATTTAGCGCAAAGCTGATCCAGAAGTATATGTGCTAGCCGTCCCTGATTTAGTAGTGCTAGAATAGAGAGAAGGCAGCAAGTCAACACCACCTACCGCCAACTCTTAGGGTAATCTTTATCAACGAACAATATGATTGACCGTCACAATATAATGAACCCCCCATCCCCTTCTCCGACAGAAAGGGCGAGCATTTTCGGTGCCGGGATTCGAACAAGTGTTCTGTAGATTGCAAATCGAAAATCATAATCAGGCGTAAAATTATATGTTTATAGATTTTTGTATCTACTAACTCGCTAAAATACAAAAAAATATCTATGACCTTATAATATGTATTGTTGCAATAAAAAGTTATTAAATCGTCGAATTTTATCTAAAAGTGGTTTAAAATGATACATTATCGCTGTTAATACAGTGAACTCATTCTCTTTAATTTTAATTGTTCTCGTGATTTTAAAGGTAAGATATACCC